CGATTGTGTCACAAACTTCCGTTAAAGATGCTAATGTAGCTGGTGAGATGTTAAGCATGTGTCATTCAGCCAACTTCAGCTCTGTTATAGATCATTATAAAGCTCAGTATCCTGCTCCCTGCTTCTGGACAGAGCAGTCGCATTCTCTTGCTGCTCCTCGCTTGCTGCTTTTTTATCTCCTTTAATCATTTTTGCTTACATTTTTATTCCACAAAACACGGATTACTCCTTTTTACAAACTTCAACACAAGACTTGTGGAATTTACCTAACTTACAGCATGTCGGGAGGACGGGAAAGAACAAAACTTTGCGACGGCTGTTTTTCACTCAAACAGGAGCTAAAACTTCTTCAAGACCGAATGTTTGTACTTGAATCAGAATTGGGGCTGAACACAACAATACCAGTGAAAGGAAATGGACCACATGGACAGAACTTAAGTTATGATGACGCTATTTCATTTCCCAAAATCAACAGAGACAATTGTTGGAACACATATGGTGCCAAGCCCAAACAAGGCAAAGCTAATGATAACAAGAGTGTCATAATGCCACAGCAAAAATCTTTAATTACAAGAAACCGCTTTTCACCACTTTTGGAAGATGAATCAGCAGTAGTCTCTACAACAAAGCTGCTAAAAACTGCAGCGCCTCCACCAAGGACAAACTGTGTCCTTATCGGAGATGGCTCGGTGAAAAATGTAAACATGGAGTCCATGCTCACTGTCTCAGTTCACTCTGCTAAAGTTGCTGAGATAAGAACTCTCCTGCCTAAAGTGTTATCTGAGAACAGTGGTGTGCGTACATTATTGATCCACACGGGGGCGGTAGATATCTATGAGAAGGCAAGCGAGAAGTTACAAATGGATTTAACGCTGTTACTGGATGACCTCAAGAAAATGGACATAACAATTTTTCTTAGTGGCCCACTGCCAAATATAGATGGAAAAATGGAGAAGTTTAGCCGTCTGTATCAGCTAAACACATTCCTACTCAATGAGTGTTCACGCAGAGGACTTGGCTTCATTGAAAACTTTAATCTGTTCTGGAATAGGCACGAGCTTTTTGAAGAAAAAGGCCCACATCTGAACAACTACGGAGTAAAAGTGCTGATGGATAACTTTGCATCTGCCCTAAGACCTCAGCCTGCGCAGCGCGTGCAGCCGTTGAAAGGGAGAAAGAAGAAGCAAAGGGCACAGACATCACGACCATCTCCACCGACTCCCGAGGTCTCTGCACCCCCACCACCTCAAAAGAACTCCACACCTCCACGATTCAAGAAGAACTCAACACCTCCAAGGTTCCAAAAGAACTCAACACCTCCACGGCTTCGAAAGAGCTCAACGCCTCCACCCCCAGCATCATCAGCAGCTGCCACATCTTCATCAGCGCCATCAGCATATACAGCACCACCAGCAGCAGTGGATACAGCCGCAGCAGTGGCTGCTCCATCATCTTCAGCAGCAGCAGTGGATACAGCAGCAGCAGTGGCTGCTCCATCATCTTCAGCAGCAGCAGTGGATACAGCCGCAGCAGTGGCTGCTCCATCATCTTCAGCAGCAGCAGTGGCTGCTCCATCATCTTCAGCAGCAGCAGTGGCTGCTCCGTCATCTTCAGCAGCACCTTCCCCACCTACAGCTCCCGTGAAGCTTCCCCCATTACTCCAGGCTACAGTCAGGCCTGTACTGGGGGTTCCTCAACCACCTCTGTCTCCACCAAAGACTCCCTCATCACCTTCCATGGACCCGGCTTGGGTCCCCCCCGCTACATCCACTCCATCTAGGGAAAATGAGGACGACCTTTCCCTTTGTTTTCTATCCCCGCCTTCACTACTGGATTTACCGGAACACTCGGCAGGCATGATAAGATCGGCGATGAAGACTATTCCTCTCACACCCACTGTAGCCAGATCAAGAGTCCTATCTAACATTCAAAAACTACTCCCCATACGTACCTCCAAAGCCACCTAGGGCGTCCAACTCAAATTCTCCCACAAAATCCACCCGTCCCTCCTCTAACCCCATAAGTATTCCACCCCCCCCTCCTGCTCATTTAGCCCCCCTCCCCCCCCCTAACTCAGCACCAAGAAACCCTCCACCTCCACTCCCCCCTCGTCCACCACCCAACTCAGCCTGCCCCTCCCCTAACCCATCACCAAAAACCCATCCACCTCCCTGCCCCCCTCGTTCAACACCCAAAAGCCACCCACCTCTCCATCCTCCTCCCCCGCCTTCCCCTACCCCTCTTATCTCTAAACACTAGGATGCACAGGGTCTCTGCTTCGCAGCCACTGGCAGTCTAGTTAGAGGAGAGACCCGGCTGGGGCCCTGTCATGAAGCCACCTGTGCCATTCCCTTAGTGATAACACAAAGAATACATTACAGAAAAACATCTGGAGTTAATCAGTCTAATCTGGAAAATCTAATTCTTGTTCCGTGTAAGAATCAGCCGACCGCAACCGCTGATACTGAAACTTTGAAACTTGCTACGCTTAATGTCAGATCTCTTTGTAACAAGTCTTTTTTAATCAATAATTTTATTTCTTCTCATAATCTTGATCTTATGTTCATGGCTGAAACTTGGCTTGACCAAAATTCAGAAAATGCAGTTTTAATAGAAGCATCACCACCAAATTTCAAGTTTGAATCTGAAATACGGGAAAACAAAAAAGGAGGAGGCTTAGCTGCCATTTTTAGAGACCACTTTGTCTCCCATAGAATGTCTCTTGGGAAGTTTTCGTCATTTGAATATGTGTCTTTTAAAATACAACAAAAACAATCTCCTCCAATACTCTTCGTTGTCCTATACAAGCCACCGCAGTCATGTCACAGTTTTATTGATCATTTTACCGAGTTGCTTTCAGTTGTATGCACAGATTTTGATAGTTTGGTTATTACAGGTGATTTTAATATTCATGTGGATAATGTTGATGACAGAAATGCAAATGAGCTGAGTTCTGTACTTGAATCCTTTGATCTCACTCAGCAGTAAGTGGCCCCACCCACAGCAGAGGGCACACTCTAGATCTGTTAGTTACAAAGGGGGTGATTATTTCAAATGTAAACGTGGTCGATGTTGCTCTTTCGGATCATTTCTGTGGTTTTTTTGACATGTGTTTCACTAACAAACCACCAGTGGACTCTGCAACTGTTCGAAGAAGGCGCATAAATGAAAATACGAGTGAACTATTTATGGAAATGATAAACTTTGAGAATGCATCGTATTCTACTGTAGATGAACTGTTTAACTCTGTCACCTCTAGTGTTTTGAATGTTCTAGATACCGTTGCCCCTGTGAAGGTTAAAATAGTGAAAAATAAGCAGAAGGCGCCGTGGGCTAAAGCAGACTCGGTCAGGGCACAAAAGTGCCGGAGGGCCGAGCGGAAGTGGCGCAAGTCCAACCTCCAGGTAGATTACGAGATCTTCAAAGATAAGTTGTGCGAGTTTAACCGGGTGCTACGTAGTACGAGAGAAAGGTATTTTTCTGAAATGATTGAAGGCTGCAGCAACAATCTGCGTGTTCTGTTCTCAACAGTTAATAGATTAACAAACCCCCTGTTCAAATGCCATTAGAGCTTACTTCCAAACGTAAATGCAATGAGTTTGCTAATTTTTTCAATGACAAGGTTCAAGGCATCAAAAGCGCCATTGTCTCCAATCCACAGATAACCATCCAACAGCCAGAAAGGCTCTCTGAGCTAACTCACTTTGCACCTGTAAATGATAAAACTGTCCAAGAGATAATCTCCAGTTTGAGCTCCTCCACATGCAGCCTGGATGTACTACCCACTAGATTTCTAAAGTCTGTTCTGAGCAGTCTGTTACCTTCACTCACACAGATAGTAAACATGTCCCTTCATTCTGGAATATTCCCAAAGGCCCTGAAAACTGCAGTCATCAGGCCCCTGCTAAAAAAGAGCAGTCTGGATGCCACTAGTACTTAACAACTATCGTCCCATCTCAAATCTGCCATTTATGGGAAAGTCCTTGAGAACTTTGTGGAGATTGGAAACGGTCTCAGATCATATGGCCCTGACCTGTGGAGTTGATCCTGGGACCTCATTCTGTTCAAGTTCTCTACATTGCTGCCGTTAGGTCAGTTAATACGCAGAAACAAAGTTTCCTATCATAACTATGCAGACGACACTCAGATCTATGTCTCACTGACTGCAGGAGAACATGGACCAGTGGACTCACTCCTTCACTGTATCCAACAGATCAGTGAGTGGATGCAAAACAACTTCCTTCAGCTAAACGCAGACAAAACTGAAATGATTGTCTTTGGTCCCCAGAAACAAAGAGAGAGCGTCATCTGTCACCTACCAGTCTCTCTCCCTAAAACCTTCAAACAAGGTCAGAAATCTAGGGGTAATACTGGACTCAGACTTAAATTTTAATAGCCACATCAAATCAGTAACATCAGCAGCTTTTTACCATCTATAAAACATTGCCAGGATCAAAAAAATAGTGTCTAAAGCAGACTTGGAGATTCTTATCCATGCATTTGTCTCCAGTAGGTTAGACTACTGCAATGGCCTGCTCACAGGTCTGTCCAAACAGGCTGTAAAACAGCTGCCAGTACATTCAAAATGCAGCAGCTCGAGTCCTGACAAGAACCAGGA